GCTGGATCAGCCCCTCGGTGTTGGCGGCAGCCCTCCGAAGCGGGGAGCCGGCTTGCGGAGCTCCACGAAGCCGTTTGGCTAACTTAGCCTTAAGCTTTTGGGTTAACTACATAATTCAATGCAGGAGAGCATTTTTGGAGAAGAAGTCATCGTGTATGCTGAGCCTTTGCTCTTCACAACTTGTCCAGCCGGTTCAGAAATTGTACTTTGGAGCAGTTAACTTGCAGAAAGGCCCTTCTGTGTGCACGTAGTCAGCATCAGCTGCAGGTTTCATTCTTAAAAATTTGGGAATCTCAGAAGAACTCAGCTGTTCCTCGTAAGTCTTAAGTGCAATAGTAGTAGCGATATTTCTGTGAGTGTACTTGCGATAACTGCTAATGCCGGGGTGCATTTTTCAAAAGTACTGATGTGACAATATCCATTGGCGTGTGGAGAGACAATGGAAGCTGTGTAAAGGTGTGTGAATTGTACACAGGTCCTGGAACAGCAGCCAGTGGATGTGTGACCAGTGGGATATTTTGGATGCATAAACAGCAGAAAAGTGTGTCTCTGCGTAAGGCACGGAACACGGTGTGCTTTTCAGTCTGGCAGCGGAAACGCGCACCTCTGCAGCTAGATCGTTGATGACATTGTGTATACAGTATATCTAAGTATGATTTTTTCAAAAAATACATAGGTAGATGGAGGGGAAGTCTGTTTATGGTGACTAAAGACAGCCTGTTCTTGTCTTTTGAATTTCTGTTTTGGTACATTTCTTTCTGCATACTTGTTGCTTGATTTCTTTTTGCGTACTGTTCACATTAACCATCTTGTATGGCCATCAGGAAGTTTCATAACTATTATACAACACATTAAAAAAAATTACTTTTAAAGTTGGTTTGTAATCCCAGTTTATTGATAAACAGAAAAATAATTTTTAAGATCAAAAAAGACACAGGCACGGTATGGAAGCTTTAGCACCATCATCGTATCCATGTAACACCGATCCCTTTTCACTCGTGCATGAGCCTCCATTCTAGAGCAAAAAAAGGAAAAAAAAGAAAAAGCAACTTTGTTTGTTTTTTTTCAGGCTGTCTTCACTTGGGAGCTTCTCCATGTCTTTGTGTCCTTGGTACCTCTTTGAGATCCGGTGACCAGTATTGTACACGGTGTTCTCCATCAGGCCACACTATTGATTTATATGATGGTATTTTAGTACAGCCTGCATTGTGAAATGTCTCTGGCAGCCTAGATGTTCCTGTTTCAAACCACAGTTATACATTCAGTAGAGTCTTCATTAAGCTATTTATAGTGCTGAACAAGTCCTTTTCTTGTCTTCATAAAATTAATTTAAAAGTCTGTCAGATGAGTACTGGAGACGCTGCCCAGCACCCACAGTGCTGTCAGTACTGTGTCGCCGATCCAGCGCCTACCCTGCGGCCTTGCAGCCTTCCCTGGAGCATCTGTTTATTGCTGGTTTATAGCAGTATTTGCTATTTAGGATCACACTCCACTTCTTTGAATCTCTCTAAAGTTCCCGCAAGCCCCTCAGGCTTGAATCAGATAATTTTGTATCAAGAGCAGCTTTTATGGTTTGACTCCTCACATCTCTTTCTACACGGTGGCTAAGTATCTTAAATGTGTCTGCTTTAACTTCATGCCTTTATGAAAATCATATGCTAGGCCACTCTTTATTGTGTTTCCTAGCCAGGTGGGATCCTTGACGGACCTGGCTTCTCTCCCAGAACTGCATGTTTTCTTTAGCAGCTTCTGGTGCTCCAGTAGTTATCCCGAGTATTTTGGAAGTTTCTTCTTCCTAATCAGTGGCTCTGTGCCATTAGTGGAGTTTGCGCTATGGCTTCCATATGTGGTATTCAGGTACCATTGTTCATCCAAACTTGAAAATGAGATCTTTTCATTCTTAAATAAACATGTCAATGCATGGAGTTATTCAAGAATAGTTGTTATGTCTCTGGGGAGACCTTATTGCAGCCTTTCAGTACTTAAAGGGGGCTTATAAGAAAGATGGGGACAGACTTCTTAGCAGGGCCTGTAGCGATAGGACAAGGGGTAATTGCTTTAAACTAAAAGAGTGTAGATTTACACTAGATATAAGGAAGACATTTTTTATGCTGAGGGTGGTGAAACACTGGCCCGAGTTGCTCAGAGAGGTGGTTGATGCCCCATCCCTGGAAACATTCCAGGTCGGGTTGGACGGGGCTCTGAGCAACCTGATGGAGTTGAAGATGTTTCTGCTCATTGCAGGAGGGTTGGACTGGATGGCCTTTAAAGGTCCCTTCCAAACCAAAACATTCTATGCTTTATGAATATTTCCTGCCCTACTCAGACCCCCTTTCAGGCACAAACCAGCCTTTATGCACACTCTGTAGGATCACCGGCGGGGCTGTATTTTGGGGCAGGGGTGCAGCCTCTGGCTGTGACATGGGAGGCTTTTGCCAGCAGGGCCATCTCCTTTTCTGTAACATTTTGTGTAAATCATGCCCTGTGACTCACAAAGCGAGATAATGCCATCCAGAGGGACCTTGACAGGCTTGAGAAGTAAGCCCGTGTGAACCTGGCGAAGTTCAACATGACCAAGCGTAAGATCCTGCACATGGGTTGGGGAAACCCCAAGCACAAATCCAGGCTGGGCAGAGAATGGATTGAGAGCAGCCCTGAGGAGAAGGACCTGGGAGTGTTGGTTGATGAGAAACTCAACATGAGCTGGTAATGCGTGCTCGCAGCCCAGAAGGCCAACCGCATCCTGAGCTGCACCAAAAGCAGTGTGTCCAGCAGGGTGAGGGGGGGGATTCTGCCCCTCTGCTCCACTCTTCTGAGACCCCACCTGGAATATTGCATTCAGCTCTGGAGCCCCCAAAATAAGAAGGGCATGGACCTGTTGGAGCGGGTTCAGAGGAGGACCACAGAGATGATCCGAGGGCTGGAGCACCTCTCCTATGAGGAGGGGCTGAGAGAGTTGGGGGTGTTCAGCCTGGAGAAGAGAAGGCTCCGGGGAGACCTTATAGCCCCTTCCAGTATCTGAAGGGGCTACAGGAAAGATGGGGAGGGACTATTTATCAGGGAGCAGAGCAAAAGGATGAGGGGTAATGTTTTCAAACTGAAAGAGGGTAGATTTAGATTAGATATTAGGAAGAAATTCTTTACTGCGTGGGTGCTGAGCCCCTGGCGCAGGTTGCCCAGAGAAGCTGTGGCTGCCCCATCCCTGGAGGTGTTCAAGGCCAGG